GTTATATGCCTTAATAATCAATAAAATGAATGGTGAGTGAAAAGAGAATGGAAACGAATCAACGAAACATCGAAATATCTTAGAATTGAAGCTTTCAACTTCACACTGCCAGTAATAAAGATGGGACCTCTATTTTCTTACAACCCATTTGAGGTGTGTTATATAAACGTTCATATATAGTACAGAGCAGCGTTTCATATGGTTTCTTAAAATTTGAGTTGATATAGCGCGTAATATATGAAATTGTTTTTTGGCCTGGAAGAAAGAAAGTATAGACCACCCATGTTTTATTATTTTTTTAGATAGAAGAAAATTAAAATAACACGCTGCATATTTAAATATTAAATATAATGTTGTCGATAATATTTGTCTGAAACATTGAAAAATCTCAATAAGTGAAACGATTGGAGCTAATTCATCATCAAAATCGATAATGAATACAAAATGAAATAAACTAACTCTCTAAATTTCGAACTGTGCAGAGTCTGGCGAACCAAAGGATGAAAGTTTCTCAATTGGGACGAAGAAAAATTTGAAGTTGGAAAGATTACTTTTTTAGTATCATCTGAAAAAGTTATTTATGATATTATTTGATATTTTGCATTTTTTTGTTGTACTGTTCGACACAATGGACATCGTGGTGCAGGTAAGAACAATCGCTCTTTATTCTAATAGCCAGCAATATGTGTATTATTAAGAAAATATATCTTAACGGCGCTCTCAGAAATGATCCATTAGTGAAGACGACTAAATTCTCAAGGCGGTGCACTAATAGTCAGTGAGACGTTTTTTGTATTCACACATCGTTATCTGCATTTCAGAGTAGTGGTGGCCAGTAATTAATTAACTTAATTGAGAACGATCAATCGACGCTTCGTTTATATTAATAACTTATTCGCCTGCTAGTCGTATTTGGAAATAAAACATAAACAAAAGAAATGAACAAACCATCCATTTCCAGAGGCAAGTCAAGCTGTTCATGCAACCTTTCTAATGATCTCGTTTTCAACAAACCAAGATCTTGTAAGAATTGAGACCTTTTAAGCATTCTGTCTTTGATTATAATCTAAATGTTTTTTAAAATTTAAAATAAAATTAGCAACAAAATCTATCATAGGGGCATAAAATGGCCTATAAAACAATATTGGTCATCATCACCAGAGCTTCTATCAACTCCGCAAACATTCAAAATTTCCTGGCTACAGATTTGCCTTCCCACAACTTTTCAATTTTTTCACTCCTCTTTTTTATCTATTACCACATTTACTTTTCAGACACTGCAATAGTTTCCATAGTTTCCAATTTTTCCTGCAAACCCAATGATTTTCTCGTTACGTTCTCTTTATTTCCCTTTAAATCCCTTGTTAATTGAGTTAAATAAATGAACTCGCTTGGCCATCAGGACCTGATAATTTCCTGCAGTGCTTTCCAGGGCGATATTTCTTTAATCTCATTTAATCTCAAACAATATTGCTGGTCGTGCATTCCGACATGCTGCTCCTCACGTTTGGAATTCGCTTCCGCCAAAGATTAGGAACTGCAGCTCTACACAGTCGTTCAAGTCGTCCTTAAAAACTTTTTATTTTGATAGAGCGTTTTCAAACGACTGACAGAGGATGTTTTTTTTGTTTTGAGGGCGCCTCAATCGCTTGCCAGGGCGCTTTATAAGTCAACATTATCATTGTTGATTGTATGTCTCTTTGATAAAAAAAAACAAATGATGTACTTAGTGCTGATCACTTGTTAACACTCAGAAATCAGAATCACGCCAAGTTCCCTGGCTATTAGTAATTCTTTCACTCGACTCATTCTTGGAACCAATTTCCTAGAACCTCGTCATAGCTTTCTTGAAAGCATGATACAGCATTATACTTAAAACCTTGACGTATCTTGCAGTTGTCAAATTTTTGAAAATTTATCTTCTGCAAAATTTACCTGGTGAGACAAAAAGTTGAATTGCATATTACCTAACTCCACTTGTTCCGGTATCTTCTTAATTAAAACTCTCTCCATCATCTGCACACGACTCTACAAAAACTCAATTGTCCTGTAGGATTTGCAATACAAAGTATCGCTTCCCCATTCTAAACTTTTATTGCTTTTACCCACCACCATGTTATTTCAGTTAGAACAAACGCACTATTTCCATTTAAAAAGCGTCTACTGATCAGTTAGAAAAATGGCTTCGGATGGCTGTAGGATAAGGAACACACACAAAGAGTGGACTTTCAACAAATGTCAGCTTTCCTAGTCATGATAGTAATACCAGCGATAACTAAACTGCATGAACTTAATTTTTGTATTGTTTAAGCAGAACTTATAACATTTTACACCTGATTTGAAAGAGAGAGAAAAAATAAACGAAGAAAGAAAATTACTTTTCTTAAGGTAGTATTTTTTTTTCGTTTTGGAAATTCTTTTTCTTTTCCTCTTTTTATAACGCTGCTCGAATCTAAAAGATTGGGACCTTTTTTAGGAACCTTGTTTATAAATATTCAGTTTTAAAAACAATTAAGTCATTTCAGTTTATGAAGCCCAACCTTTACGCTCGTATTTTTCTTTGGAAGGCTAGCTGTAACGGTTCTTCTATGTGACTGAAAAAAATTAAATACGGAATCTATTTTCAATACTTAGTTTACTCATTTCTATAAATGTCGTTTTATATAAACATATATATCTAACTATCTACTAGCTGTATAGCACGGCTCATGGTTTAAGAGTCTTCATTATACGAATGTCAGTAATATTTTTTTAAATTACCTTAATCAAACGGACTTTCAAAAATATTACGTACGTTCGCAAGCGACGTCACCGATTCCCCATGTTCCCTCTTGACTTCTCGTCAATTTATATAGATTAACTTATGTTTTAGCGTATTTGTCATTTCTACCTTTTTTAACGTTCTCCTCAATATCTTCAAACTAAACATTCAAATTTTACTTTTATAAACATTTAAACACATACACGCCTACACATATATTAATATTTAAATTATATGAGAGTCTATAATATTAATTAAATTTATTGCCATTCGCGAACCAAGTTTTCTATTGAACGGGTAACATGTGCGCTCCAAAAAAACGTTACCTAATTTTAACACGCTCGCAAGCACTTATTTTATTATATAGATTTTTATGAATGAATAAAATAACTTTTTTCAAATTATAAATCTGATCGAGAGATTTTGAATTATTTTAATCAATTAACTTTTTATTGAAGCGATAAAAACAATTTCAGACCGCTATATCCTAAGAAACGATCTTTAGAGACTTCGAAGGCTTAAACACACGCAAATATTTTCTTTAATTTACTTCCTTCGTTCATTCGTTATTATTCATTCATTCACTCATTCATTTCCCAGCTGAAAGAATTTAGGAGTCATTTAAAAGTTTTTTGAAGTTTTAATCTTCACTTACAAATATAATTGAAATAAATATTATTTACTTCAATTCAATTTCACATTAATAATATTTATATAATTAAAAATTGCGCTATCTTAATGCAATTTTTTTAATTTGGTATAAATAACAAATTTTAAAACAACATTTGAGCGTCCATTAAATTTCAAGAAAAATCATCATTTCACAGGATTTTTAAAGCAAATCTTTTCACATTCATCCATGTAAGGCGTAGTGCTTCTGCTGTCGGAATAAACTTGTCAATAAATGTTTTTTTACTTAAAAAACACTGAGCTAGTTTTTGCTTAGTAAATTGAAAAAAAAGATAAAAAAAGGTGTAGTTTTCCAAGATTAATCAGTTAATTAATAATGTCGAGTTCACGCCTTGTTGTCAAAAAAATACCAGTACGTCTACTTAATTTTAGGAAAACATTTGCTGAACTAATCATATTTATAAATCATATACGACGCGAATAATTACGTTTTTAGATTCTTCAAATCGCATACATTTAATTTTATTAACTTTTATTTTATCATTTTTTTCGTAATTCATATAGAAATTCAAATTATTTACCAATTATAATTATTATAGAACAATAAAATCATATAAAATAAAATAGTTGCAACTCACGAGCTCCAATATTTTAGAAAGATCCATTATAATAGGCTGGTTGCTCAATACTTTATGTTTCACCTTCGGAGATTCTAAATATTTAACTTTAGGATTCGTTCATTGGAACAAATTTAAAATTCCCACTTACTTCCAGTGACGGTTTGTTTTTCTTCAACGGACAAATTTTTGGTTTCCACAGTTGGTTTCGAAATGAACCGGCTCGTACCTATTTTACTCAGGTCATTCAAAGATTTATGATTTTTGGAATGCGACTCGTTATTCATTACGGCGTCTGCAAACAAAATGGAACAATCTCAACCAAAAGTGCTCAGGTTTTGTGGAAATAGACAAACATTAAAAACAATAAAAAAACCAACAAACCTTGTTTGCAAATTTTATTCAACGTCTGTTAAATATAAACATCTTTTTTTCATACTGACCAACATTTAAGTTTTTTTTTGCCATAAAATTTAAAAAAGTGGTTATTGAAATGAATAACAAATTATTTATGAGAAAGAATAAAAGATTTCTAACATTTTTATTTTTAATTTTGGCAAGTCCAGAAGAAGTCTTGCTATTTTTTGAAGAATGTTGTGAATGTTGTGGTTGCAAATCTGTTTTCTATAAAAATTCAGAATGTATTTTGATAAAATTGCTAAAAAAGTGGAACTTAATTACGAAATCGGAACCTTTTTTTGATTCAATTTAATTGAATAAAAAGTAAATAAGTTAAAAAAGGCAAAATAAAACATACAAATAAAAAATTGCAACAAATGAAAAAATGCATAGCATTAGCTCTAGAAACTTGTTGTTCCAATGGAAAAAATTAAGAAATTGAAGCCAGCGAGACAGCGTAGTAAAAAAACTGTTATGCGTATGCAAGGGTTCTAACAATTTCAACCTAAACTTAAAACGTACTTTTTGTTCTTTTAGCACATTGTTTTTGTAAATGACTTCATTTTGTTTAATAAAAAAATCAATTAATATTTTTAATAACTTCTGCCCTTACACTGAACAAGGACGAGTTTCATCCAGAGAAAATATAAGTAGCCATGAATAAAATTGTAACAAGAAACGTGGAAATTGACACTTTGATGCATAACAATTGCCTGTATGAATGTGAACCTAAGAAATAGTTTCAGGCTAGAACAACATTTGAAAAAAATGCTTATCGGCTGTGAGCCAACAGTAAGAGCCCACAGCTTTTCACTTATTGGCTGAATAACATCAAAGTAAAAATTTATTTAGAAATTCAAACTAAAAGTAGTCTGAACATAAAAATGGAGTCGATAATGTCTTCAAACTTCAATGCAAGTTAATTGGGAATTTTGTTGAATACGTAATAAAGTAGTGTACATAAATAAATTTCATTACTTTAAAAACAAAAAAATAAAGTAAGCAAGTCAAACTTCAATGTCAGATGTCTTTTTGTGAGTATTTTTAACAGACGACAAAGTATTGTGACCCACATTTGAACTTATGGAGGATTTCTCAGTAATACTAGTTGCAGGATTACGATGGATCACATTTGAAGATTTTAAGACATCTGAATATGATCTAACCTCAGTAGTGAAATTTTTATTAACATTTGAATCTGGAATTTTGTAAAATTTTCGTTATTTATTCCCTCAAATACTTAGTAAATTATTGATTGGCGTCATGAGAAAATATTAATTAATAGCGAAAACGTCAAATGAAACATAAATGTTGATAAAGAATTAATTGTCTCATCACTTTCAATATATCGTCAGCACCCTTTATTATCATCAATTAGCGTCACAATTATCGCGAATTCAACTCGTCATCTTTTGGAAAAGATCTCATACGCATTTGCAATGACCTGATGTTGACGCCCTAGCATTGGTTAAATTCAACTTTATTGGTAACCTAACCGACAAAAATGCATTAACAAAATGCACACCGTTTCGGCACAGCTCACGTCATATCAATAGTTTCAGCATTCAACTGATGGGGTTGAAGCAACGAAAAATTGTCATCACCTTGAGAGAATGTGTCGCCGAAGTTGTTCTGCTGAAACTATAGCAAAATTTAGAACTGCCAAAGAAGCAGCAAAAATATCAATTATTAAGTCAAAAGCAGACTCAATTTGAAATGAGCCTAATTCATCCAGCAACCCTTTTCATACTCGATCTCAACGCACTTTTCTCCTGATGAATGTAACACCTTTGTCAATTCTTATGTCAACCATGTTAATGCTATTCATCAATCTATTTCTGTTACTAATGCTTCTTCAAATCTCTCTTCTTTTTTTTTGAAGTATATTTCCCACATCTTTTGAAACTGCATTAATTTTTCCACGATAAAGAATGCTGAATCATGCTCTCCTCCGTCGCCTGTCAACATATTAACATAGCTGGTTCCTCTCTGTCCATCTAAAATAGTGTCTAACTCCTAGGCATTGCTTTTGATCCTTCCTGTTCTTCCAACTATCAAATTTTTTCAATTATAAAATCTTGTAACTATATCATCTGGTCATTTAGCTTCTAGCTTCATTTAGCTTGCTGTCTTGTCCTTCCATGTTTTGACTATTGTAATTCTCTTCTAATTAAAACCATCTCTCACTCAATTCTTCCCTCCAACATGTTTAATTCAAAATTGCTAAATTAGTTCTGGATGTGCCATATTACTTCACTCAACTCAACTTCACCAATCATATTTTCTGATGATCAGAGATTAGGGTGTCAGAGTCGGATAATAAGTAGCACGACATTAACTGAAAATTGATTGATAGAAAATTTTCAGACGCCAATTTTGGCCCCTTAAAAATTCTGTTTCCGACTTCCAACAGTAGGACAATGATAACGACAGGTCACAGCACAGATATCCTATCAGCCAATAAATCCATATCACCATATTTTGATAATTATTTATATTTACCTTTCACCTCAATGTAAACTTTCCAACTGTAGCCAGCGTAAATTGTCCATGCATTCTTCTTATTTGTGCAACTCTTAAAAAATATTTCTCATTCGTCTAATTGTAATTTCAGTCACAAATTCAGATGACAATTAATCTTATATTCATAAATGTTTGATAGTTTCATCATTGATAAAATGTTCATAGACAGTTTAATTTAAACAAATAATTACCCAACAAATTATCAGCAACTGCATTAAATTGATTGCAATCCTTAATAACATTTGATTTCTTCTTTTTTCTCTTCTGCCAACAACAATAGTTAAAATTGCACATAAGCCAATGAATGCTTTGAAGGCAAAAGAAATAAAACACCTGAGGTTTCCTTTCAACAGTTGTAGAGTTTGGTGGAAGATTAGTTGAGTTTAAATCTAAACTTTGTTGTGATGTTGTGTCATTTGTTCTTTCAAACTGATGGCTACGTTTAATTGGTTTGAGGTTTAATTCGGATTTCTCATCAGCCTGAACATTTAATAAACTGAAATCTTCACAAAGTTGCTTTTCACAATTGAAGGATTTTTTTTTCAATTTTGCAGGATTTGAATTATCAACAGTTGAATTTTTCAAGATTGGGTAACTCTGCAGTGGATTATCTTTTACGTAACTGAAAAAAAATCAAATTTCCTCTTTTAATGAAGTCTAGATATGTTTATGTAATTAATGTCTTAATCCTAAACAACAAGAGCATAGAATGACACAGAAACAAACTCAGCCATAAAAAAAGTATGAGTTCCGCAGAAAATGTTAAATACAACATTCATTTAAAAAATACTTTCAATATAACCATATATAACCATATATACAACAATAACAACAATATAACCATATATATTGATACACAAAGACAAGTAAAAAAACAACATAGAAATCAACAAAGAGAATAGCTAGGTAGGTAGCAAGACAAAATGAAAAGTCTGTTTAGATTTCCATCACAGTGCAGGCTAAGATCTATTAGTAGATTAATTTATAAAACATGTATTGATGTGACTTTCATTTTTTTGTGGTTTTATGACAAAGATTTAACTGTTATTTACCAAAAAAAGGTAAAACAATTTAAAATAAAATAAAAAATTAAATATTCCATAATAATTGTTCAACAAACCTTGATTGAGAAGCAGGACCCATCATTGAAGAAGTCATGCATCTTGCAGTTGTTCTAACAGCAGATGGAACAAAGCATTCGGCATGTACAGACAGCTTTGAATTATACATCATGAAATATGTTTTTTACACAATGTACATAAGAAGATGCCTTGAAAGAATAACAATCTAAATGTTCATTTTTGTTAATTATGACCTGAAAGTGAATTTAAATAAAATAAACTAATTTTAACATTCATTCTTTAAATGAACTATTTTTTAAATAAAAAATACTCATTTTTTATTTCATACTTTATAGATTTGCACCTACATTATATCTTTTGAATTAAAATTGCTACCATACTTGAACTAGCTCATTCTGTTAGGCAAGATCATAAAACTTGTTTGGAAAAAATTTAAGTATGTTTGAATACAAACATTATAGAACTATAGAGCAGGAGAAAAACAACTGTATCTAGCAAACTTGCTGAACATCAACTGATCATTACTAAAATGATAATTAATTCAATTCTTCTTCTTACCCCTGCTGTAATGTAGTGTAAACCTTAAATCAACATATATAACATACATGGTGAAGCCATCTATAGCTTTTTTACGGTTGCACTTAACTAATCAAATTGATTATTTCCCCAGATACCTAGATAAACACTCAGCTCAATGAAAAATATTGGATCAAATTTTATAAATTATAATTTTGAAATACAAATATACACCATCCTTTTAAAAATTATATCATCAAAGAAGGATTGAATTATAGTATAATTCATCAAAGGAGGGTTAAATTATAGCATAATTCAATCCAAAATGGTATCATCGAAGGAGGATTAAATTATAGTATAATTCATCAAAGGAGGATTAAATTATAGCATAATTCAATCCAAAAATGGTATCATCGAAGAAGGATTAAATTATAATATAATTCAATCCTCCTTTAACGATATCATTTTTAAAAGGATGGTATATATTTGTATTTCAAAATCATAATTTATAAAGTTTAATCCAATATCTTATATTATTAAAAGTTATGCTATGATTATCATTATCTAATAGTCTCTCTAATTCTAAGAGTCTAATGCTAATTCTTTATTGAATGGTTTGTAAGAACTGTGCTGCTAGGTTATTTTATATTTTTTACTTGTACTTAAGTTTTACTTTTACTAACCACTAATACTGCTTAACTGTTAACTAACTTAATTAACTGAAATTAAATAATGATTATTAATATGAATGAATGCTTGTTCTGTTTGCCCTTTTTTTTACATACTTTTTATTTTTAATTTTATTTTAACCTTTTTATTTTAATCTAAATATAACAAATTAACAACTTTTTTCTTATTATTGATAATTGATATGAATTATAATATATAATCATTAATTAAAAATACTTAAATTCAAATAAAATGTAAACTTTCAATTTAATTTTACCAACTTTAATCAATTAAATTTTTCAATTTAATTATTTTATCATATTAATATTCATTTATTTAATTAATTTTAATTTTTAATACAATAAAAAAAGTTAAATTAAATTATTAAAAAGTAAATATTAAATTTTATTATTATTAAATTAATTAATTAATAATTTATAATAATAATAAAAATTATTTATTAAAAGAACAATTAGATTTTAGAATAACTTTTTTACTTTTACCTTTTTATAGAATAATAATAATAAATAATAATAATGAAGGAATGTGGTGAAGAAAGTGGAATTTGCAAAAAAACTATACAGTTAATAGTGATTTTTTAATTTAATTAAACTAATTTTGTATAAATATTTGCTTAAATAAACCAAATAAATGTGCAATCTTTCTTGCTTATCAGGGTTTTCATACAAACACCAATCTGGAAAAACTGTAACAAAAAGTGAATTTATAAAAAAGTGAACTTTAAATTTGTATAGTGCTCACTATAAAGCAATAAAATTCAAAAAAACAATTACGAAAAATTACAAAAAACAAGTTATATGAAAATGATTAATATTAATATTAAATTAACCTTTCTTCTTTTTCCTTGTGCCTTATCCTTTCAGAACATTGGCGACCATCAACCTCCAAAAAACCCGATCTTTAACACTTGTAGTAGTTGAACTATCATCACATTTCAATATTAGCCACTAGAACACAATGGCCGGGCGAATAAGCTCAGTCGGTAAAAGTGTCATGCCCCACGCTGTTATTACGCGATAGCCTGTCTCGAAATCAAAAACTATCGCATGCCATGTGTATATGATGTGGTGCTTGCGCGTGCGTACATAACTTTTATGCACGTCGTGTGGTGTGGATAGTTCAACTTTTGTGACAAGAAAGTTTAATTATTAATTGGTTTGTCAGAGCTACATAATAAAAAGCAAAAAATATTATCAGCCAGAGCCAATAGTACCAGTATCTAAGTGTGTAGGGAAGACGTCGATCTGTGATGGAACAATTTTTCAACTGTACAAGAAGTGAGTTCCATATTTCGCTGTCATCTTAGTAAATCTTCATTTCCCAAAGTTTGAAGATCGGTAAGACGGTACGACCAAATCATCTTGATCCGATGATATTGGCACCAGTTGTTCACCAGCCAAACAATCTTTAACCAGCAAAGCTACTATAAATTTTGTTCTTATTGTAAACCGTAGCCTATGAAGTTTATCACGCATCAAAATATATGAATGTCACTAGTATAGCAAAGATTTCCAAACCTCAAAAATCAAGCACTAACATTTGAAACACGATAGAATAGACTTAAAAGTTAACTTTAAAAATTTTTGATAGAATCATTAAAACTTGAATATTTAATAAGGAGATTAATGAAAAACATAATTTTTAGTGAAAATTATTCGAGAAAAGCAAGGTGATATAATTGCGGAAATAGGAAACGATAAATGTTTGAAGTAGAAATATTTCCGAAGCAGAGTTTTCCTTCATTATATTTTTTCGGCTTCAAAGAACGTGATTGCCGAACGTCCCTGAAGCACATGCGCTTTTATAAGAAATTACAAAGTTGCTGTTACTTGTCACTGGGTAAGTACCGCCAGCATAATAAAAATTCAAACGCTTATCAATATATTAACCCTAACCCTACTCAGAAGTCCTCCTGAATGACAGGACATGGTACGATACTATTACGGAGCTTGTGCACAGCTGCTCTGCACTAAAAATTACTAATTTCTCATAATTGTGTTATGATTTCAATTATACGATCTACTGTTAAATTATTATTTGACAACAACCAGAATAACTAGTTTCCGATTGTCGACAAGTGGGATGAAAAGACAAAGTTTTTCAATTCAACGGAATCAGATAATAATGTCGCTTCAGAAGAAACGACGATGATAACAATAATAATAATAACAACAACAATAATAACAATAAATAATAATAATAAAGTTTCTACTATTATATTTAAAAATGTTTTAAAGTGTGGGTTCATCAAAATTAAAAAAAAGTATTTTTAAACATATCTATCCAAATTAAAACGAATAAATTTATTAACAATAACCGTCAATAACGTAACCTAATATACAACAGAAATAGGAATAGAGGTTTACATTTAGGAACTGATAACACACGCCATACCATGAAGAACTAATTAATTATTGTAACTTTGTTTATAAGTATCGGAAAGATTCTAACACTTTTGCATTGGGAAAATAAAATAAAAGATTATAATAAAAGATTCTAGCAATTTCGATTTGGGAAAATAAAATTTTTAAAGAAAAGCAAGTAAAAGTTTTGAACATATTAACGTCACGACGTTAGCGATATAAATAATGTTATTTTCAAAATATACAACTGAATGATGAGTTTAACAATATAAGAAATAATAGCTTTCAAGTAATCGGCTGGAAAACAATTTTACGGTTGCAAACGAAACATTAATAATAACAAATTTGTTAGCATTTGTCATGATGGAATGACGTAATCTCTAAAAAAACTGTCACAGATACAAAAATTGGAGCAATAACTGCCATTTTAAAATTACCATTTTCTGTCGATGTTAAAATTCAAAACAATTTATTTACATATTTGATAAATAGATTAATGAAAGATATTTGTTTAACAAAAATAAAAATCTTTTTACAAAAAGGTGAAATCATTGGTAACTGAGCGTTTACGTCTAGATTTTTTTTAGACAAAGTCTATGCGTGAGCTTCTGAAAATAATTTAAACCATTTTCCTCTATCACAGAAATCACTTGAAACGTTAGTCAACTTGAAGTTTGAGCTATGAGGAATAATATTGAAGTTTCAAGCAATCCTATCCAAAAAATGAGCAATTCGTAATCGTTTCCTTGATGTTTGTGGTTTGTACGATGCGTTGATTGGCAAATGAGAATTCTTTTTGTTGTCATTAGAAATAGAAAGCTATTGAAAGGCATATTGAGGTAGTGAGCCAGTGCATGTGAAATGACCATTGTGACGATGAAGCAGTTTTAACGTAATAAACTAGAAGATCTGACGGCAGAGGACGGGGACATTTGTTGTCGACCGTGCTTCTGGACTGCTCAATTATTGGTAGAATGTAGGTCTGCTTGTATTCTTCTAATATTTCTCCGCAACGGTCTTTCAGGCGCTTCTTCATTATTTCAAAAAAACACCTTACAGAACTGGTCACCACTCTGCAACAAATTTATTGCAATTACTGATAATTATTTCACATCGTAATTTTGCTATTTAAAATTGAAATTTGTAATTTTAAATTAAAATCTGTTAACTAAAATTATAAAAGACAAAAAGGCGCTGAATTGCAGAAACTAGTTGTTGTGGTGTTACATGTTTCACTCATGAGTTATGTCAATCGATAAGTATTAATGCTTTCAATTTGTTTTAACGAAACTATTATAATGGGGCAAAAAATTTTATAATGATAAATTTTTGTATCTCCATAGAACCAAAAAATTTTAACTTTTTATTTTTCAGTTATATTTTCATTTAAATATAACTAATACATTTGGCATGTTGTTCGATTAATTTGGTGCAGATGAAACATAAAATTTTTTAAATTCAAATATCCTTGATTATATATATATATGTATATCATTAAATAAGAACGTATAGTATATATTTGTTAGAACATACATGACATAAACAACATTTCGTTGTTATTTAAAAACTATTGAAACTGCTTATTGAAAAACGTTTAAATTTGGCAACGTCATTTTGAAAAACACGGTTACAGTTTCCAACATACCTGGTATGTATGTTTATGTGTACAGTACGCCAGAACGTGATTGTGATTGTGTGTGTGCGTGTGTGTGTGTGTGTGTGTGTGGTGTGTGCGTTTGTTTGTGTGTAAGTGCGTGTGTGTGTATCTACATCAGCAGTTAAATAACAAATTTTGATGGTCAACGCTGATCGACGAGTGTATTGAAATGCAAACTTTTGATTTACTACTTCGAAGCAAGTGCAGTGCATACGACTTATTTTCCACCTTTAAATGCCTGGACTTGAGTAAATAAATATTTGAATATCGATGCTGAAACATATGCGCCTGTGTTTTTAAATAAATCTCTTTGAGTATGTTTTATATTATTATTTATTATTATTATGATCATTATTTTTTAAAGTTTCAATAAATTAAAAATTTTAAATGATCACGTTTTCATTTAATTGATTCACTCTAATTATTATTTTTTCGTCTAGACAACGTATGATGAGAATTGGGACTGATCTACTCTAATTATTTCCTTTCTTAGAACAATGCATGCTGAAGCTAACAAAGACTTGTTTGTGTTAATGATCAGAGGTATAGGCGGGGGCAGCTTTGGGACTGAAACTCTCTACAAGAGAAATTTTAGCGAGAATTAAGACAAAAATAAATGATATATCTGAATAAATTTGTTAAAGTTTGGACTGAAAACAATTTCGGTTGCACGTTGCACCACAACAATATAATTAAGTAAAATTTTGTCGAAAACTAATGATTTTAATAGCGAATTTTTTAAATTAAGTGAAAAGCCAAAAATTGCCCCCTCTTCCAAATTATCTTTCATAAATTTGCAAATTTTAATTGTCTATTAAACTTTTTATTAGTATAGTTGATAAATAACAAGGGTAAAATGTTATTTCACTTTCTATCAAGTGTTTAGCTGCTCGTTATTCGTTTACAGGTAAATGACAAATATGTACGTTATGGTGAGAATCAAATGAAGAGAAAGTACCTGCAAGCTGTCTGATATTGCGTTTGTTTGACGTACGTGAAAAAACGGGTGTCGAAGGCTTCTGAGCAAGTTTGCGTTCTGTCAAAGTTGATCCAAAAACAATCCAACAATGTATCCAACTCTATTTCAAAAATGAATTAGTAAAACATTTTTAGTATGAATGACTTTTTAGGAAATAAGAACGAAAATATTAAATGAAAAATGAAACACAATTTGCATTCAATAATACTTTCTTTTTTTATACTGATTTGATTTCACGACATAAACAGCATTAATTGTCAAGAAGATTTGGCTAAAAATAAAAATTTCAAAATTATTAAAATTACTAAATAAGAAAAAATTATGAATTTGAAAAACTGTAAATATAATAATTTTTAACAAATGTCAATATTTTTTAAGTTGTACTACTATGTTTAACACAAATTTTGATTATGTTTCATATTTTATTTAATTAAGCCAATCTTTGTTCATCCAATCCAATTCCCGTTCTCATGTGAAAACTGTGAGTGACATTATTTGTCGATTCCTTATTTTCATCATTATGCTTTCTTCTATGTACCAGTTTATTAAGTTGTTTGTTGTTCGCAGCTTATCGACGTTCAAGCGAAAGGAGGAGGATTTCAAGTTTGAATTGAAAACCAAACAAATGCGTAAATGTCTCTTTAGTTGAAAAACAAAAAGTGTCAACAATTTTTTTTATTATAGAGACCAGAAACGTATTCGTCCTATTCTCTCTCCTCTCTCTCTCTCTCTCTCTTTCTTTCTCTCTCTCTCTCTCTTTCTCTCTCTATAGTGTGTGGTGTGTGTGTAGCAAATAAAAAGCTGTAAAAACTTCGTAACATTCTTATAAAAGCGCTGATGATGGGTCACCAGTCCAATCGAAATGGTGTTAGATTAGTTAAACGTAAATTACGATGAACCAATTTAATATTTTTTCAACCATACCTCCTTGTTCACTTAACATCAATACATAAATATACATATATACACTGAAGATGGCGGTTGTTGCCGAAAAAAGCATTTTTTGTATCTTCAACGTATTTATGTCAACAAAATGTCTGTTTGTATTGATAAGTTGAACAATGCAGACAACATTCATTAAATGCCATACACCAGTGCTTATTCTAAGGTTTTTTCCCACTGCCCAAAATACAAATGCCTGGATCAAATTTTAAAGGCTTTAACTTTAAACAAAATAATTGAGCTAGCAATGGTTAGGGATGGTTGGAACAATCGTAATAAAACATAATAAAACATATAAAGACAGACAGATACGTTGTTAATATTAAAACAGACGGACAGACAGACAGACAGACAGACAAGATAACAAACAAACAAACAAACAAACAAACAAACAAACAAACAAACAAACAAATGACAAACTTCTGGGATATCTGCCGGCACAAGGAGAAAAATAAACGTAGTAACGAGCTTGGTGTGTTTTGATGATATCAACTGCGACTTGGTTTGATTGGCAGTCGTACAGCAAATCCTGGTAACACGATTTTGTTCTTTCCAGAGCTCTTATTGAAAATTTAGGTTAAATTAAATTATTTAGCTTAAGTACGTATCTAGGCTATGGTTAATGAAATAAAATAACGAAACAAAACCATACGCGCATGTGGTATTTAATTTGTGAGACGTGAGGCTGTCGTTTTTTCCGAGATAGTGAACAAGAAGGTTGGAACAAGCTCTTGACGGTTCATTCCAATAATCTTCCGGACATTCAGAAATTACGAAGATTGAGCATCGAACTGTTCGATCAAATATTCAATATTATGTAGTTGCATAATTCAATGAAAGAAGTTTTATAATTGAAATTTAATAATGATAAGTATTATTTATCTGCTAACCAGATATTTATGGTGTTGAATAATTAGAATTAGCTAGAGTGAGTGAATGATTGGTTGATTAATTAATCGTTCAACATAACAAATTATAAAATTTTTTCATATATATATCATTTCTTCTTTCTATCTTTTTAAATTTTACTCATTTATTGTTAGCTTTGAAAGATGGAGATTAATAAATATAATGGAAACAATTAAACTAATGTATATTATGTGTACACAACTGAGAGATGCATACATAATTATTAATTATATTTGTAAATGTATGTTATAATTTTATAATACACACACACACAACACACATATACAGAAACACATTTATATATGCTCATATATCAAAAAGTGTGGTGTGTTGTATGTGCGTGTGTGTAGCAAAATCTAAACTGCTTGTTCCATCATCTAGCCATAGGTTCGATAACATTCACACAACAAATTGTTATGTCTAGACAGTCGTGATAGGAGTCAAGTGTTGGCTAGCACAAATAATGATAAAGCATTTTCTCTTTTTATGAATAATTTAAAAAAGGCTATTGTAGTACCCTGCCAAATTAATAAAATATTGAAACATCCCTAGATTACATGCGGTTTACTTTTGTCATCCAAAAAAAAATTTGTTGAACGTCAATGTTAGTGTATGACAAATTGATACAAAATAAAATATGAAAGTTTATTTCTAAAACTCTGTCACATTCCTTAAAAATTGTATTATAAATATTTATATAGAAAGCACAAAAAGACCAGTAGCAGCAATCTATCTATCAATTATTCTGTACATACAACGGTGTCATTTTTTTTTCATTTTCCATTTTATATATATTATCTTTAATAAAAAATCAAAACCCTTTTCTTACATATTTTACGCACTTTCTAAAGTTGAAACATCGGCAAGTTATTTAAATTATAAACCTCATACATTTTGCATGCTCATCACTTAGTTGTTTAAACAATAGTTCTTCAATTGGTAGCAGACAAGTATCTATGAAGGGGTCAAAAAACTCCATTTCCAAATTTTCCCCTGAACCTTGAGTTGGTTTATCACAGACATTTTTATTAGGATGAGTTTCACAAGCTGCAACCTTTTGAGTGGCTTCAGTGGCGGATCTAGGAGGAAGAGTTGGAGGGCACTGAGTTTTTTAATAAAAGTCAAAAAATGACCGTTTTATGTTTAAAATCGACCAAAAAGTGAACGTGATAAGCAAAAAAAAAAGGTCGCCCCTCCTCCATGAAAATTTAAACATTTTTAAATTTTTGCTCCCCCCGTCAAAATTGTCTAGATCCACCATTGGGTGGCCTAAGTACTGGCTTGATGTTTAAGTTTTCATCTACTTTTCAGCATCAAACAAACATTTTGTAATATTCTAATAACCTAATAAAATTTTTCAGAAATTTAGTGCGTTGTACCATATCCATGTGCTTAACATTTAGCCTGCACTGATCTACTTACAACGTATAATTTATTTTCAATTTTGAATTATTTTTTAATGCAATTAGAGAGACCAACCTCGCCTTTCTGAGGCCGGCACAGTGTAGTGGTACCTTTAATACGTTATAAAGTTATACATATATAATGATATAATAACATTTTATTTCATTTAGATATGGGCATATATTTTTCGCGCCCATCATTTCTTTATGTTTATGTTTATACCTCTTTTCAAATCCACCCATTCTCGTGATGTAATAATAACTATCGCTTCAATTCTTTATTTATATCTAATCACTAAACTTTATGAAAAACTTGTTCTCTTAAGACAGATAAATTCTGGATGTGTCAGAGCAGCATTAATGCGGCAAATGTTCTTGTTTGTTTCACGGAGCCTAAAGTTGTTGTGGGTGGCTTCAACGTGCGGTACTATCAAAACCACATTTTTTGGGTTTCCTTGTAATTTTAGCTTATGAAAAATTTTCGGGCAACGTGTTATTTTATTTACAAATATATGAAAAAGTTCGTTTGTTGCTCATTGTCTTGAACTTGTTGAATCGAGAAATTTTAAGTAAGAACCTATGCTTTTGCTTGTTTTGAATATGCAACAAAATTTTAATAAGTAATTTGGAGCTTGAGAAAAGTTCTCGTAGACATTATATGTTGGCATTAAATATGTTATTGCTTCGCGTTTACAAGTTTCTATGTGTATAGTTTAGTTTGGACAATAATTTTGTTAGGAAGATTTTTTTGACAAATTATTTTTTTAAATTTGTACTTTGAATAAGGCTCCTAATCTTGTATGAATATGTTTTATAATATTTCACTCTAATACTATTGCATTAACATTACTTTATAAGATGAAGAAAATTGAAAAACATTAACATTTTAATGCGCATCCTAAAGCCTCAAAGATAACTCTATTGTATTTTAACACTCCAACAGAATCCACTTTTTCTCATTGCGTGAGAGATGCTCTTAGTATTATTTATCTAGCTAGGCCATTTTGTGGACAAAAATTTAAATTAAATATTAAAAACTGGTAGTGAAAACTCCCATAAAACAATAATTCAGAAACAATTCAGTAAATAACTAAATAAATAGTTATCAGAACATTTAAAATAAATTATCAAATTATTATCAAAAACGCTATCACCATAGACTAACACTAACATCTAAATATAAAATAGCAGAACTAAATCAGTTATCAAACAAAATTAATCGTTACCGTACCAATAAACAAATCTGACCCTTAAATTTACAACAATATACATATCAATAGAAAATTAACAAGTTGAGCCATTCACTTTATTACTATATTACAAATAACATTCACTCGCTAACATTAAAGAATCTTTGTCATTCAGCAAACACGTAGGCAAACTCACCACGCATTGATAACAAATTTCAATATCAACAGAATCAAAAATCAAAACCGAAACGACACGCAAATAATGAAACCATGATGACATCGTTACAAAACCAAGAAACAGTAAAAATTATCAACAAAGAAAAAACAAACATTGACTACAAAAATGATATGATTTCAGTAATTTTCTAGACATAGATAGACTTGAATCAAGCCTTCTCGGATGAACTGGTAAACCATTCCAAACAGTTTGACCAAAAGCAGAAAATTAATTTTTCCAAACTTCAACTTGGTGGTTGGAACCGTCATAAGATGCACTTGGTTCGATGAAGGCTGGAGAGCCACCGACGTGCATCGTGCTAACTTTGTTGATCAGGTATGGAGATGCATCACCAGGCAAGCACTTGAACATGGTTAATGATAATTTGAAAAGCACTCTCTCCTCTGTTGCCAGGCAGTGTAACTCTTCGAGCAAAGGGTTAACGTAATTCGGAATTGACTGAATCATCGCGATTGATTTACCAGGTTAGGTAGACCGTAAAAACACTTTTGCAGTAGTCCACACGTGAATAAAAGCATGAACTAAGCATAAGCACTTGGATAATTTCCTAATTCATTTTACACACCCATACATACATAATATATATGTGTATATATATATATATATATATATTTACACATATATAAACCATTCATATATGTATGTATGTGTGTTAGTGTGTGCATGTGCATATATATATATATATGTGTATAATTAGTCAATAATAGAACTGCATTAGAACAAATTGTCTGACACGCGCAGCCACATACAAATAATAAATAATATATAAAATACGTAGCTACAGGTTTTCCTGTTGCGTGAGTATTTAATTATCGCAGTACGTATTTTTTACGTAATGTATCGAAAAGCAAATAATGAAAAGCACTTACTGGCAAACGTAATCATTGTGATGAGCAAATGATTACATTTCAAAGAGATGAGCATTGTAGCATCATATTTTTTGTATAATTATTCACTATTTGAACCATTCCGTAAGGTTTCGTTGAAATTACGTCTATGAGGATAATAAATAATGTTAGTTTGTTACAAAACCAGCATTGAACGATGACAATATATTTCTCGCTCTTTTATTATAATACTAATATATTTATTTCACAAAAAATTTGCTTTATCCAGTGGTGATATTCAATATAACGATGAACGTGAATGTTAATGAAAGACTAGGAGAAAAGCAAAGCCGCAAGAAGACAGCAAGAGTGCTACGTCACAGCTTCAAGAGAACAACATTGCTTCGTGCGCCAATGCTTCTTATGTCTGTCAGTGCTTCTTATGTCGTTGTGTTTCGTGCATGTTATAAACAAAGACAAAAACAAGATCTTTGTATTATTCGTCTTCTATTGAATGTTTGTACACTGAATTGTTCTTGGTTCTACGAATTTGTTAACAAAAACCATGTTTTGTCCTATATATTTGTATAATAACATATTATTAACAACAACTGTACACTAGTCTGATTCGGCAAAACATTTATCCAATTAACTTATCAAATTTACATTACAAAAGATTAATTATACTATAAAAAAAATAAAAAAATGTGATTATTGAAAAAATATTGTAAAAATTAGAAAAAATATTGTAAAAATTTGAAAAAAAATTTTGTGCAAAATACATTTATATATTAAACAATTTTAATTAAAACTTTTCTTATATTTCAGACCATAACATTTTTCTTAAGTCTGCTTTGCTACAGATTTGTGCGGTTTTAATTATATATTAAACCAAATAAAATACAGTTAGACCATGGTCATTTTCGTATTCTTTTTATTATAAACTTAACTGGTATTGACGTCACGCATTCATTATGATTGGTGCAGGAAACCTCAAGATATCTGCAACAGCTAAACCTCTATATTGTGACGCAAACGCTTTCAGGTCAGCCTTCAGGTCAAGCAGTATAGATCAATTCCTGTGGGAAATTCGATGCATTAAACATTCAGAATACATTTCTCAACATAAAATTTTGCAGAAAAATTTTCTAATAAAGGTTATTAAACATCTGCTTCCGCAAAATTCAAAATGTTTGGGACTGCCCTACGTTATTCTTATTAGTAGCTTTGCAAGGAATTTGTAAGAAACAAGAGTCATATTGACTGCAAACTTAGAGAGAATCATCAAATGGCAGATGCTTTTTTATTGCGGCTATTGCAAATGCTTCTAGGTCAACTTGGAGTTTAATCCATACTGAAAAATTTCATACGCTATATGATCAATCTGCATATAATAATTGTTTATATAAACACATTAGATTTAAAAATTTTCAATTACATTGTTTCGACGGTGTCATGTTATTTCGTGCAAAAATTTATGACAGGTTGGTTAAAATAAAATTTTGTTCGGCATGAATTTAGAACAATGCCATTCTATTTCCATTTTTGCTTAAATATTTATTTATTTTTTATTTTGGCTCTCAAAAATATCACGTTTCAAGAAATAAAAATTAAATACCACACACGCATCTTCTTTATAAAACGAGCCTAATACTTATTTAGAATATATATAATATAGCGGGCGGGGCGGTTGTGTGATGGTTAAGATGCCTGGCAATGATGATGAAGTGTTGGGTTAGAATGCAACACGTTCCCGCATGTCACGTGCTGTTATGTGATACATTGATTCGTGTGCTCGTTGTTAACTTTAGGAAATACTAGAGAGAATTATAGTCATTTATAGGCTAAGTATATGAATTTATGATGTTGGTTAATAAAGAACCACAAATCCTAAATAACATAACACAACATAACATAACTTATCATAACGTGACAGGGTTCTAAGTGGCTCAGAAACTAGGGACTGTGGGAGAATCACAGACAAATAAATGTCCCAGTATGCCAGCTCTTCCAGTTTGATCTAGAAACTGTTGGTTGATTTTACGGAGATCACCTCATCACCCAGTCCATTCGAGGCGTTTACCACCGTACAACCGAAGACTTTTTGTTTGATTGGACCGTAGTTTAATTAACATTAACCGACTTCTACAGTAGTTAGAAAGTTGTCTACATGGATAAAACAGAATGAATTAAAGCAATTTGGTCAAATACGGTTTAAGACTACAAAAAGTAAAATCGTGTAGAGCCAATACACTTCATTTTGTTCCGCCGTGCTCAGTTACGTTGGAAAATTTTTTGGCTAAGTCGTAATTGAAATATAAATTTTTATGTAATCCATCATCTGTTCTTTTGATAAGCTCACTCACCGCTTTAATGAAACATTCATAAGTTTTGCGGCCAAAATAAAATGGCTATTAGGTACTATCTTTTTATACGGTTCATCATCTCCATCTTCGTTTTGAATTTGCAGTTCTTTCTATTCTATATAGTTTACGTTTCTGATATTTTAAACAAAGAACGTTACAATAAAAAAAAACAAAGCAAGTGTACATTTTTTGAATCTACGAAAAAGTAGTGGCTGTTCTATATAAAACGTATACACAAGCAGATAGTCCACCAATGTTTATGCTCATTGTGGGTCCTCTTTTCCAATATGCTTTGAACATGTTCATTGACTTGAAAACAAAATTGTAATTTAAAAATTAAAAATAAGCATTTAATAATATTATCCAATTAAATAATAAGTGCAAAAATTATAATAAATATACCAAAGCTATCAATGTAAATATGACTGAATGGGTAGTGTCATTAAAAAATACAGTACGAATATCAGCCTATGTTTTAAGCCAATAAAACCAAATCCAGTATAAAATAATTTGAAAAAATTAATAGTAAATTAATAAAGAAAATTCGTTTATAAAAACTATTATAGTACGTATCGGCAAAAATCGAGTCTTCTTTGACCAAACTGACATGAAGCTGACTTTGCAAAGAAAAAAAAAGAATTAAAACAACAAAACATGGCATAACATAATAAAGATTGTTATAGTGATCCGAGAAGACTGAGTCTGCGAGGTGTTATGAGTTGGTAGAGAAATTTAAAAGATAAAAAATTGGAACCAAGTATCGACTTTCGAAGTTCAATCAAAAAGATAGAAGTTAACATTGGAGCTTAATAAGTAAGATGAAAACAAATCATTTAAACAATGACAATTTGAGTCATTTAAAAAATCAAGTAATGAATGGAACAAAAAGCAGTGGCGAATTTAGGAATAGGCGCACTAGGCGCGCGCCTAGGGCCCCCAGATATTAGGGGCCCCCAAAACTTGAAAAATGAGTTTTTTGGAGGCTTCAAAATATTTCGCACAAAAAAATTTAATAAGTTTGAGAAAAATTAATTTTACATTTTCAGATAATATATTTCATAATTATTTCTAAATATTTTTGAACAACGTATGAAAAAAAATATACAAACAACAATTTATGCGTTGCCAAAAATGCGCGCACGAATTTTCGCTCAACCCTAAATTAAAAATGAAAACAAACTTTTGAATTTTGGTAAAATTCGAACACTATTGGCGCATCTTACGTTACAGATTTCAATTGAAAATTTCAATTCAAATTTTAATTTTTTGCAATAACTAATTGTTAATTGCCAGTTTATTACACTATTTTAATAATTTTACTGTGTGGATGGATGATCATTTTTCCTTTCTGCTGCTGATTGCAACACAATCGTTTCATAAAACAATGTCTATGGGACAATATCCCTCAGGTGCAAAAAAACGTGATATTCAAAAGAAAAGAAAAGCAGAAAATGCGAAAAACGAAGGCGCCTTGTTGACATTTTTAGCGAAACGACCGGTAACCCCATCATCAGAAAATTCTCAAACAGAAATAACAGCTGGTAATCAAAGTGCAGTCGTCTCGGCAACAGCCAGTATGGATTCTGAGTCCTATCCAACAGAATTGCCAGAATCTGAACCACCGGCTGAAGGTTCTATAGAGGTCGCATGTATTGAAACTGTTGATAACAACTGTAGTGAAATTTTGACAGATATTGCTATGTGGCCAGCGAATTTGACAGAAACCATGCGTAATTATGTTTTGGATTTCAAACCAAAAAATGTTGGCGACTTTTCATGCGCTAGCATGTTGATGACAGATCGTGGCAGACAATATTTTCGTCATTTGTCTGAACATAACTTTTACTTGACCAAGGCGAATGGCCAAAAAGAAAGACGTGAATGGTTAGTGTTCAGTGAAACTAGTGGAAGTGTTTATTGTTATGTATGCAAACTGTTTCCAAATAAAGCTAGTCAATTTTCAACAAATGGGTGTTCAGATTGGAAAAATATTGCCGCGAAAATTTCTGAACATGAAAATTCGTATGGCCATGTTCAAGCAATGTGCACTTTGGCTAAACGCTTAAACGCAAACGGGCGTATTGACAAACAAATGGCGAAACAGTCAGATGATGAAAGGCAATACTGGAGATAAATTCTACAAAGGATTGTAGCAACTGTACAGTTTCTTTCCTCTCAAGGTTTGGCTTTTCGTGGTCATGACAACAATGATGGCAACTTTACTAGTTGCTTGAATTATTTGTCAAAATTTGACCCTTTCTTAGCGAATCATATTGCGCGGTACGGTATTAAGGGAAGTGGTTCTGTTAGTTATTTGTCACATGCTACTTGTGACGAATTTATTGAAATAATGGGCAATGCTGTCAGAGATCAGTTTATTTCAGAAGTAAAGAAATCGATATATTTTTCTTTGATTGTTGATTCAACACCTGATGTTAGCCACGTGGACCAGTTAACTGTGATACTCAGATATGTTCTCATTGATGGTGAAATTAAAGAACGATTTTTAACTTTTGTTGACATCTATGCTCATAACGCTCAAAATCTGGAGCAAGTGATACTAGACGTTTTGAAGAAATGGGGGTTAGATATCACAAAATGCAAGGGACAGAGTTACGACAATGCTTCTAACATGTCTGAAAGATACTCTGGCTTGCAGGCGCGAATCAAGGCACACATCCCAATGCAGTTTACATTCCCTGCTCTACAGTGGTGTAGTCGAGCCGGAACGGCGTTCCGGTACTTTTTTTTGGAGGCGGAACGCGTTCCGGCACTTTTTTTTACAATTTCAATATAAAAAAAAGTACATTTTACAGGCGTTAAATTTAACTTTGGAAATTAATAGATAATTATAACCAATACCAATACAAACGATGAATAACTTCAATTTTTTTATTTAAACTGTTTATTATTCAACGCTATATCATTGTTGCTATGCTTACGGTTTAGTAAACATTGTTTCAAATTATATTTGTGTTTTTTGCGGAAGTTAAAAAAGTAATTTTTTTATTTTATTTATTTTACATTTACTTTAAATATTCTGCTTTTTATTACTTACTGTTTTTTTTAAATCAAATTGTTTAAATACATTTTTATATAGGAAAGTGGGGTAATAAATAAAAAAATGTTAGGCTCCATCCGTAAAATAAAATATATTATATTATAAATTATTTGTGTATACAACAATATTATCATTGTGATATTATAATTTATATTATTATTAATGTTATTTTTAGAAGGATATAAATTTGCGTGAGTCCAGATGTCAAAAAAACGGGAAATAAATACCATTCTTGATTTTTTTTGTAAAAAACAAAAGCGTGACAATGAAAATGAAGATTCTGCCAATACCAACTTAGAATTGATAGAAAATGAAAATGAAAGTGAGAATGGGAAACCTGAAGAAATAAAACCATGTTTTCCCACCATTTGGACAGCTGATATGTGGGCTGAAAAGAAAAAAAACTATAATTGGCTTACTTGCAATTCAGAAAAATTAGGATGTTTATTATGCACTAAAGTAAGAACTTTGGGACCATCCAAATCTCAAGGTGTCAGCATTTCAAAAGAATGGAGTACCGCAACTGTAATTTATTATGGAAAAGACAAAAGTTTACAGTTGACGTCTTTGAGAAAAAAAATTCATGAACATGCTAAGAGTGCAGCACATATCAGTGCCGAGAAAATTTTACTAGAAGCAGAAAAAAAACCCATGAAAAAAGTAATAGATCAATTAAACAACTCTGCTGTGAGTTCTACGTCTAAAATTTTTCGTACAGCGTATTACATAGCTAAACATGATCGTCCATTCTCAGATTTATATGACTTATCACAATTACAAGAATTAAATGGAACAAATATTGCTCCTGGATTGAAATCAAGATTTTCTTGTACTAATGTTATTAATCATATCGCTAAACAAATGAAATCAAAAATATGCCAAACAATTATTCAGAATAATGGTAAAATATCGATTCTTGTGGATGAATCTACTACGCTCAGTAAAAAATCAACTCTGATTATTTATTTTAAGTGTGAAATAAATAAAATGGAAGATTCGCATTATCTCTTCTTAGATTTAGTTGAATTGGAAAGCCAGACTGCCGACAACATTACAAATAGTCTTTTAAACTGTCTTGCAGGTTACGGGTTTGATGACCATTATTTGGCACACAATTTAATTTCTTTCACCAGTGACGGTGCGAGCGTCATGTTCGGGCGGAATACTGGAGTCTCCACTCAACTTACAAACAAATATCCAAACCTCATTAAATGGCACTGTGTGAATCACCGACTAGAATTATCTGTTGGCGATGCAATAGATGAAGTACATGGAATTAACCATTTTCAAATTTTTATGGATAAACTATACACTCTTTACCACCAGTCACCGAAAAATCAAAGGGAATTGGAGTCATGCGCACAAAACCTAGACACAAAAATAAGAAAAATTGGCCGTGTGTTAGGTATTAGGTGGGTGGCAAGTTCATTTAGAACAGTAGCTGCGGTTTACCAAAATTTTGAAGCGTTGTGCAAACATTTCATACAAGCTAATCAAGATGTGAATCGATCCAAAACAGAACAATGCATGTATCTTGGTCTTTATAAACACATTTCATCAAAAGAATTTTTGTTAAATTTAGCGCTAATGTATGATGTCCTTTATGAATTGTCCCTGCTATCTGAGGCATTACAAAACAGAGGTACTACGATTATTTACGCAGATAAAAAAATTCGCCAAAGCATACGATATTTAGAATCTATGAAAAATGCTGAAAAAGGGAATAAATTAATTGAAATTGCAAAAGCGATTGAAAAAATGAAATTGGGAACAGTAACTATTACAGGTAATAGCAAAGTATCTGTCATTAATAGAAATCAATTTCTGCAAAGTATTATCAACAGCATAAATCGCAGATTAATTGTAAACTCGGTATCACCTGAAACAAATATTGTAAATGAATTTCGAATTTTAGAAAAAAAACGAATGGCCAAGTGACATTCCGCTTGGATATGGAGAAAAAGAAATTCATTCACTTTGCAAAAGGTTTAATTTGTCGTCTAAAAAATGTTATAGTGAATACAGAGATTATTTAGATGATGGAGGAAGAAATCCACCTGCAGACCACTTAAATCAGTTAATGTTGTATGGCAAACTAATACCTTGTAGCTCTTCTGAATGCGAAAGAGGTTTTAGTAATATGAACCTCATATTAAATGACAGGAGAAATCGCTTACTTATTGAAAATGTTTCAAATTTATTATTTATTAAAATGCACGGACCACCACTAAATATTTTTAATCCTGAAAATTACGTTATAACATGGCTTCGAACACACCGTTCTGCTGATGATAACCAGACAAGAAAATCTTCATCAGAAAACATTTCAATTAACTCTCTTTGGAAATTGTTGTAAAATTAAAATATATGAATTAAATAAAGATTAAAAATAGTATGTCGAAATAAAACCGTTTTTTTTATCTTTCTTTACTTCTTATATTTTATTATCTTTTAGCCGTTCCGGTACTTTTTTTTTTAGGACTACACCACTGCTGCTCTAGCCATAGCTTAAATCTAGTTGGTAATTCGGTTGAAGAATCTTCGCTTTCAGCAGTATCATACTTTGATTTGATTCAAAACGTTTATGTGTGGTTCTCATCATCCACACACAGGTAGAACATACTTAAAAGTCATCTAATCAAAAGTGGATGCACCATAAAGAAAGTATCGGACACAAGGTGGTCAGCTAGAGCGGATGTAGTGTTTGCATTGCATCAGAACTACATTGGTATTCAGGAAGCTCTTCTTCAAGCAGCCGAAGATCGTGATCAGAAGGCGTCTGTAAGATATGAGGCTAATGCTCTTGCTAATAAAATCGATATTTTTGAGATTGCATTGATGACTGTTCTTTGGGATACAATTTTACAGCGGATGAATGCAACCAGCAAATCAATCCCTGCTAAATTCAAATGTATATCTTGATTCTGGTTCAAATCTTCTAGAATCACTGAAGCTTTTTATTAACAATGAAGTCCGAAACGATTTCACTCGTATTGAAAAACAAGCAGCATTGCTTATTAACGAGGATCTGAAAGACTGTAAATATCAAGATGAAGTGAGCCGCAAGAAAAAGCGAAAACCGTTTTCTGATGAAAGCAATGAAGCGGAAGTTATTTTAACTGATCGTGATAATTTTATTGTTAACACAGTAAACGCCATTTCTGATAAATTGATCACGGAACTTGATCACAGAATCGAAGCATACAAAGGTATACATGATTTGTTCAGTCTATTTTTCAAGGACAAGGTAGATGACATGAACACAAAGATCTCGGCCTTGATCGAAGAATAGAAAGAGGATGTTAATTCTGATACCGCTGGCGATGAAATCAAACAGTTTTTGCATTTCGCTAAGGAAGAAGGCACAAAATCTGCGGTAGAGATGTACCAGCTTATAGTGGTGGGTGGACTACAATGTACATTTCCCAATGTGGAAACCCTTCTAAGAATCTTTCTCACCATTCCTATATCAAACGCAACTGGAGAACGTTCATTTTCTGTGTTGAAGAGGATCAAGAATTACTTGCGGAATTCCATCAGCCAATGTAAGCTGGGAGATTTGTCTATTTTATGCATTGAATCAAAGGAGACATTAGAATACGATTTCAATGCGCACATTGACTCCTTCGCGAAATTGAAGAGCAGGAAAAAAGTTATATAACTGTAATAAACTGACAATTGTAATTTCTAACTAGTATCTATAGCTGTAGTATCTATGCATGTTAAATAATACATGGGTATGAGTGTTCTAACTATTGTTGTATTATGATCATTGATCGCCTTATAGGCGAGAGGGCCCCAAATTGGTCGTGCGCCTAGGGCCACAGTTTTTGTAAATACGCCTTTGACAAAAAGGTGTAACAAGTAGAGGAATCATCAAAAACGTTTTCACTATCAAAAGTACCTTGGCAAGGCACCCTACGTCTAATGATGTCTTTAAAGCAACGATTAACACTCTGGCCGTAAGTTCGTTTACTTTAAAAAAAATTGGTGGGTCACACAACAAATCTGATATCATTTTCGTAATCTCCATGTCAAAATACATAAGGAAGTGCCATTGGCAGTTCCGTTTTTTTCTTTGTTGTACAGTGTAATACAAAAAATGCGCAGAAACGACTTTTGTTTATAGATGCGGTGATTTCTATTTTGTTCAAGAATTTTTAAGGAGCGGATATATTAGCGAACAATCTAACGAAAAAATGGAAGTAAAATCTTTAAGTTTTCTCAAGATTAATTGGATTTTGAATCAAAAGAAACATGATTTTGGCGATGTTATTATTACTGATCAATGATAATAAAAAAAATAATATTATTATTAATAATATGAACATTTATATAGCGTCGATTAGCACAGCTGCTTCAGGGACATCCAAAGCCTACGTGCATGTATTAAAACAATGAGTTTTTAGTCTTCTTTTATAGTCTCAGCAAGAACATTGTCTCCACTCGAGAGGTAACGCATTTCAAACATCCGAGGTGGCGCGAGAAAAACTGCGAGGTGGGATTTGGCGATAGGAATGTTTAAGAAACCCGTCGAAGACCTGCGGAGCAATCTGGCATGCTCATAGCGAGATATGAAGTCATGTAGAACCGGATTTACAGAACTTTGCTTGAGATCAAATTGATCAAAACGACAGTTGTCGATACTGCAGCGGATTTTTGGATATATTACATGTATTGCAAATACTCATGTGATTAAGGAAAATCATTTAAAATTATATCTGATTATATCTAAATGATATCCCAAAATGATGTCCCAGATGAGTCTTCTTAAAAAATCTGATAGACTATTTCTACCTTTTTCCATTTCAGCAAAAAGTGCATGCCTCTACAATATTAAGTGAAGCAGACAGTGGTGAATCATGAGATTCTAATTGTAAAGTTACAGCACTTATTTGGCTTGGCTGACAGTGATTTCATGGTAGAGGTCTTATTTATTCATTATTTATTTATTTATTTATATATTACATTTCCCTCTTCAATATTTTTCAGAGGTATCAAAAACAACCAAAACACAATGTATGGATTAGCACACAAATCTATGTTCAAGTTGTAATCTATTCGAAACCTCACAGTCAAGCTTAATTTTGGTGGATTAAAGCCCGGTAATTATAGGCCGGCCTATTTTTATATGAGTTATTTCAGGAGTTGACAAAAATCGTCAAAAATGTAGAATTAATTTTTCATGCATTCCAAAAGTGGAAAGAAAGTGGCACATGTACATGTATAGTATGAAAGGTTAAAATTTTGGCTGATGAGGGAGGACGAAAGTTTATCAAAATGATAACTATGCTCTCTCCAGGAAAACGAAATGATTCCAACGTTCCGGTTCATTATGTTTCACGTAATCACGTGCAGCTCCAAAACAGACACCCTGGCGGCATGACAGCTTTTGAGAACGACAAACACCCAGCCCCCTCGGTAACGAATTTTAAAAATATTAATAAAAAATCATGGAACACTAACAACGCTCAGGTCCAATAATGATAATAACAAATTCAACGGATCTAAACTTAATAATTATGAAATTCACCTACCTTAATTAAACTTCTCTTGTCTTTAGTGAGTAAACAAGCTCTACCAGATGACACCTGAGCAATTCTTGATAGTTCATTAAACACGCCAGGGTACAGTTTCATGTTGGACGTGTGTGAACCAACCCTGCAGTTTAATATTTTCCAAAGAAAGAGAAGTTTAAGTTCTAAAACCTGCTACAACACTTATGAAAACTAGAAACTCAAAAAGTGGCAATAGAAAATTATTATGTTTATTTTTGAATTAATTAATAAATTAATTAAATCAAGTATGTACATTTTACATTTGAATACGAGTTACGAGATTGGCCTTAGAAAATGCTGTTTGTTTTTAAATTATTTAATTCAAATTATGTGCATTAGGCCAAATGTAAAAATGCTCGAGACAAATTTCCAATATGAAATATATTTACAAACTACGATCTATTCCCACAATATGTGGTAAAGCACATTAAACACAAGCCTACTTGCACCTATATAAACGTAATTGCACTCCACAACTTGTGCAAGCATTATCGCTTCAAAATTATCACATACCTACAAAAACTTCAGCAAACAATGTCGGTAAAGCAAAAGATTAGAGAACGTCTCACCTTTTTCCAAATGGCTGTTAAATTTAATAATTCTAAATTTAAGAATTTTATTAATTTTATAGTGTGTAAAATACAATAAAATGTATTATGTAAATAATATTTTACAAAAATCTGACTAATGTGAATAATAATAATAATGCAAAAAATCAGAAATTTCTAACCAGATCACTGACAATCACATCAACGGAACTGTTTTTCAGTGGAATATGGCAGGCATCCCAGTTGAAAATATCAAAATGAGCCCATTTCTTTTCTCTGGCACTTGAACAATAAACATTTAAATGAAACTCAATCATGGTATCAAACTATCAAAATTACATTTCAGCATCTTCCAGAAAACTTTTGTAATTATCTAGCGTTTTTAAGATCAACCTGTAGTCAATTTCCCCTCCAATAACGACGCTTGAATTCATCGATGCCAATGCCTGAATTTTGATTACCAAATAATTTACCATCAGATATATTGATCAAGTTTAACACAATGTTTTTCGAATTTTATTACCGACAAAATCTATGATCTAAAACAGTAATGGCTAATCTTTTGTTGCCGTGCACAAATTTTTTTTTTTCATTTCCTTTTTAATAGAGCCACACAAATTTTTAATTTTTTTATAACGTATATAACATATATATTCTTTTAGTCTTTTCTATATAGTCTTTTTTATTAATTCATTTTTCCATGTTTTTGTCACATTGGGACCTGGTATTAATCCAATATAAAAAAAAACTCAAACACGCTTGGTTTATTTAAGAAATCAATCTTTCAATTGATTTTGATGAATCATTTTTCTTCTTCTATTAATAATTAATTGATGTTTTTTGTTGACTAATTATATTAGTTTAGGGCTTGTTATTTAGTTGTTATGTTATAATGTTATACAGTTATAACCACAATGTCATAATCTTATTTATTAGAAGTTGTCAATTTAGTTTATGTTTATTAATTATATAATTTTATCTTATTTATATTAATCTTAATATGTTTGGTTCAAACTTTAATTTCGGTGGCCCAGCTAGTGAAAACTTCGGGTCTCTTAGTGATGGGTCTTTATAATACTTTGCTGAATAAAAGTTTATTTGAATTGAAAATGTATATATATATATATATATATATATATATATATATATATATATATATATTATTATTATTAAAGAAAAATTTTAAAGCGCCAATAAAAGTAA